TATGATACAGGAAGAAGAGATGTTTATGATATTTTTACTGTAATGAAAGTTAAAGTATTTATCTTTTCAAATTAATTATAAAGTTAAAAATAATTTTAGGCGGCAATGAAATTTTGGCAACTTGTTTGTTTTGAATCATTACACAGTCAAATGACACACATATGTTTTCAATTAGCCAAAGCCGAATGCCAAAATAAAGCGATTTATACGAAGTTAATTCGTGCAGTTATACAAAGTTATGATAAATATTAAGATTTTGTTTTTCTTGAAATTAATATGAAATATTTTAGTTGATCTTAGTCTCATAGAATATTACTCATCTGTATCAAATAATAATAATCAAACAACATCTGTTAAATTGAAAATTTATAAAGATTACTTTGAAATATCATTTATTCAAGATACAGAAGAATTTTATCATCTTAAAGCGACTAATCTTTGTACTGAGGATTCCTTAACGTAATATTTGAAAAAGGTTTACCTTATTCATTTTTATAAAGATGATAAAATATCAAATGTTATTTTTAATAGGTAACACAATGGATTGATGAAAAATTACATCGAATACAATCATATCCACCTTCATCAGAATTATTACTATTAGTAAAAAAAAAACTTGAAGATATAATTATTCATGATCGACTTCAATTAATCTATATTAAAGCAAAAATACTTTCACATGATGAAAACTATTCAGGTAAGAAGATGAAAAAATTTCTCATTATAATTGATCTAGAATATTTCATATGATCGATTTCCTTTTGTTGTTTTTTTTTAAATCTTTATTTTTAATGATTCATTTGTATTATTCTTTGATAGATTTAGCATTTCTATTCAGATTTGTTGATCGAGTACCAAATGCGCGTGTTGAATTGAAAAAAACCAATTGAAGCTAGTTTCTATTCAATGGGTATTGAACCAATCAAACGAATCAATGCCCCTAGAATTAATGTAAAACTAATTTTTCTCTTCTATTTTATAAACTATATTATTTATTTCTATGATATTTTTTTAGGATTGCAAACTTTATATTGAAAACATTTTTGATATTTAAAAGGAATTCTTCAAATTTGTACAAGATACTTCTAATAATGAAGAAGATTTTGTTACTTTTCTTGATCAATTAAATCAAGTTTTGTTTTAAATAATTTCACTTATCGTCGTATGTGTTTAGATTTGTGGAAATGTTTATTGATAATAATACAGTAACAAAACCTGCAGATAGTACAAAAATCAGCTGAATTATTAGCTAAATATTGTGATCTAATTTTACGAAAAGGGTTTGTTTAAATTTGATATTTACTATTATAGTATTATTTTCTATTTTATTTGATCTTAATTTGATTCTTTAATTTTATATTTGTTTTTTTATTTAGGCTATGCTTAAATATGTCAAAGATGATGATGTTTTCAAAAACTTTTATAAGAAAATGTTCGTTAAACGTTTGATAGGTGTATTAAATGCATCAGATGATTATGAAGAATTAATGACTTTAAAATTAAAAGTAAATAAAATATATTTATTCTTGTAACAAATATCTAATCAATATCGAACATATTGTAAAAAGAAGAAAACTGATGATATTAGTATAAATACTTCAAATTGAATATTTTTGTCAAATTATATTTCATATGATTTCTTTTTTCTTATTCCAGTCGATTTTTCTGTAATGATTTTCCGTTAAAATTTATTGAGATATTCAACATTGATCAATTTTATTATACCTGATGAAGTTATATTTATTTTTA